TTGTTCTCAACATAAAGTGTCCAAGCTCCCTTATTCAGTTTTGATTTTGCTGAGGTTAAACATTGTTAGGCAATTTGAATAAATGTTGTTAAGGCAGTTTGAATATTAAAGTGTTAATACTTCGGTTTTTTAGTTTTTTTATAGTATGTGTATGTGTGTATTGCCTGCATGTAGATAAATGCACCCTTGTCGTGCAATGCCTGCGGAGGTCAGAAGAGACTGTTGGATCCCCTGGGACTGGAGTTATAGACAGTTGTTAGCTGCCATATGGGTGCTGGGATTCGAACCCAGGTCTTCTGCAAGAACAACCAGTGTTCTTAACCACTGAGCCATCTCTCCAGCCCCACTTCACTTTTTTAAATAACAGTTTTATCATACATGTGTACAGTAAACTACACTCATTTAAAGTGTATGTTTTGGTGGGTTTTGGCAGATCCTCTGGCACCATCGTCATAAAGTGTAAAACATTTCTGTGTCTCCTCATGGTCCATCCCCTCCCTGCTTCTTCATCAAGCAACCACCAGTGTGCTTTCGTCCTTAGGGATTGGTTTTCATTCTAGAGCTTTGTAGACATGGGATCATATAGCATCTACTTTTTTTAGTTTTTTTTTTTTTTTTTTTTTGTTTTTTTGGAGACAGGGTCTCCCTGTAGCCCCAGCTGTCCTGGAACTTGCTATGTAGACCAGGCTGGTCTTGAGCTCACAGAGATCTGCCTGCCTCTGCCTCTCGAGTGCTGGGATTAATGGTGTGCACCACCACGCCCAGCTTTAGGTTTTCTTTTTAAGTGTGTATGTTTGATGGGGGTGGGTTCTGCAATTGAGTGTAGTGTCCCTGAAGGCCAGAAGAGGGCACCAGATCCCTGGAACTGGAATTAGAGGCTGTTGTGAACTGCCAGGTGTGGGTCTTCTGCAAGAGAAATAGGCATAATTAATCAGCGAGCCATCTCTCCAGCACACATAGCATCTACTTTTTATGTCTGGTTTCTTTCACCTAACATTATGATGAGATTTATCTACATTGTTTGGGTTTTTTAAAATATTCTAGTTGAGTTTCCCCTTAGACAGTTGAGAACAGGGAACAAATAGGAAGCTAAAGCTCTACTAACATAACTATTCCCTAACTTACTTGTATCTGTTACTTACTAATTATGTTCTGTATGTGCATTAAGATCATTTTACAAAAGGGAAGCTAAAAGTGTAGAGTTAAGTAAAGCAATTGGTAAAGTACAAGGGATCTGGGTAAAAGTGACAAGGTTTGACACTCGGATCCACGTTTATAACTGACTCAGGCACATTAGTTTTCTGTGTCTGATTTTCTTCACATGCATTATATGATGGGATTTATAATAATAGTACCTACCTCTTGAAATTGTGAAACTGAAATGAAATAATCAATGTGATTTGTACAGTACTTGTCCTACAGTGTCAGCTAAGATCTAGTTCATGGTTCTTTACTTACAGTTCAGTGTAGGGAACACAAAATGGTCATTCAGATAAATTTTCTAATTCACAAGTGGAGGTTTTATTAACATATTAAGAAAGATACCTGATTATTTGGTATTTTACATATTGCTTAGTACCACACATACCTGTATGTTTCCACGTGCGTACATTATGTCAGTATAAAATACCTTTGACTTTTAATTTTAAATAATTATAGTCGGATAGAAAGTTGGAAAAATACTACAAAGAGATTGTTGTATGTTTTTCTATTTCCTGCCCCAGTGTTACTATTTTGTGTAACTATGGATAACATTGAAAGACATTTGGAGGGAGTTGGAAAGATGGCTTAGTGGTTAAGAGCACTTGCTGCTCTTGGAGAGGACCAGGTTCAGTTCCCAGAACTCACATCGTGGCTAACAACCATCTGTAACTCCAGTTCCAGGGGATCCAACGCCCTCTTCTGACTTCCTCAGGCATTGCATGACACAGGTGCACTTACACACATGCAGGCAGTACCTTCATACACATAAAATAAAAATAAATTTAAAAAAATTTTAAGAGAAAGATACTTGTTTTTTCCAGGTCTTTCTATTACAAATAAAGCTGATATACACATCTTTTTCCACACTGTTACCGCTGGCAGTCTGTTTTCTCTATATTCTTACCACCACTTGGTACTACAAGTATTCTTTTGTTTTACTTCCGAGTTCAGATGCATATGTAGTACTATCTCACATGCTTGGTAGCTCAGATGGCTAATGTTGACTATTCACGTGCTGTCCATGTGTTTGTTGTTAAAATGGATGTTCATGTGCTTTCCAGTGGTGCTCTTTTTCCTTTGTTTGGTAAAAAGTTTTAAATTAGCATATGAAGTAGGTTCATTGTGGCCTTACTTTGTTGTGGCTGATCCTCCTCCTGCTCCCCTCCCCCATCCCTCCACCCCCAGTGTTCCCCTTCCACCTCTATGACTCCTGTCTTCTGTACCCCTCCCTGCCACTTTTCCTTAAACCACCCCCCAGGCCTCCCATATTTTACCTTTGAGTCTTAAATTACTTAAAGTTTTATTTTTATTTATTATTTTTACTGCGTGAGCATGCCATAGCATGTGAAGTTGGCTCTCTCCTCCTGCCTCCTTCCACAGGGTGAATTCTGGGGATTCAAACTCAGTCACCAGGCTTGCGGCAAGTGCCATCTCAGCCATCTCACGAGCCCTTGAGTTATTTATGTACTGCAGATACAAATCCTTTCTAGCTGTAAGTCCTGGCACCTGGGAGGCTGAGGCAGGATTGCGTTCTGGCAGACGTGGGCTGTATACATGGCAAGACTGTGTCTCAAAAGACTAAACACGACCTGCATATAGTGTAGCTCAGCGTGAAGCTTCTCTTTTCTCTTTTAGCATGGTCCTTAGAACTGGCATTTTCAATTTTAATGAGGTCCAATTTCCTTTTTTTTTTCTTCTACTTTAAAT